TGTCTGTCTCTCTCCACGGAAATATAATTTCCATGAGAACATATTTTATTTATTGCTATAAGACAAGTGTCTCAAACAAGTGCCTGGCGCAGAGAAGATGCCATTAGTGGCTTTGGGGATCCCTGTGCTCCCCATTTCTTGGGGATGTAAGGAGCAGGAGAAGGGTGCATAGTCCCTGATGCCATGTGCTCACGTGGGCACCCATGGCAGTGACTGTCATCTGGACTGGGCTTTGAGCCTCAGCCAGGCAGGGGGCTGTGGAGGTGTCCCGAGATCTCAGCTGTGTGACTCTGTCTGGTCTAGAGGGTCTCTCTGTGACTTCCCTGCTTCTCTTGGGGATAGAAATCATTTGGTTGCTCCCATGCCATGAGAGGGCACGGCAACTCTCCAAGGCTGTCTGAGGCTCTGTCTGCCAAGGTGCTCCATGCAACTATCATTCCTGGGCTCTTGTCTTTCTGGGGCTCCATCCGGCTCTCAGATCCTACAGTTCTGCCTGGAAGTTCTGTTGCCTCCCCAGGGCTCAGCTTCGGATCAGGGAACAAGGACTTTCTCTCTGGGACCCACTGACATCTTTTCAATGTTTTCCAGTGTTTTTTTTCCCCTGCTTCTCTTATTCTTGCTTTTTCCCTTTCCTCCCCCAGGCTGGAGATCTTTCTCCTGGTATGACGCGGAGGGCAGTCTTGCTTTGGCTCATCTCTTATCTAAGTTGTGAATCCTTTCTATTTTGCTAAGGGCCTGGGCTTTTGAAATAGAAAACTAGGAGGACAGACCCTTTCTTTCTGCCTTTGGGCCTCACCTTCTCATTGCTGGGATGCTTCAGGGGGAAGAAGGGCCAAGGGGCATGGGGGAGGGAAAGGCTTGGGCAGGGGAGATTGTGAAATATTTTACCAAGACAATCACATCATGTGATGCTGATAATGACCACAACTATGTTGTAGTTCACATTGTTTGTGCACTTAGTGTATGCTGGGTCTTCTGGCTGCTCTCTGTAATGCGCCTCCATTAATCAACACAGCAACTCTATGTGTATTTATCATCATGCTTATTTTCCATAAAAGCAAACTGAAGTCTAGTGGGGGAAAGGGGGTTGCTCAGGTCCCACATTTTGCAAATGATGGACCTGGGCTTTGGAAGCAAGCCTGCTGTGCACTACACCTCCTGGCCCCCTGGCAACACCCCCAGAGCCTCAGGACCCAGGGCCATGGACATGGGACCAGTTGATTCTTCCATATACCTGGTGCTCATCCAGCAGGAGTGGAGCTGGCCTTCCTCTTCTTTCCCTGGCCCACCAGGTGGGCCTCTCTCTGTGCCCCCATTGTCAGCCTCTTTCTGCAATGCTGGCTTCCCTCTCTGTTTCTGCTTTAGGCCCATCTCATCTCCTTGGAGGAGTCCAATCTCCCTCCCTCCTCTCTCCTTGCCCCCCTCCTCCCTCCCTCTTCCCTCCTTCCTCCATCTTCCCTCCCCCTTCCTTCTCCCCTCCCTCCCAACTCCCTCCTGCCCTCTCCTCCCTCCCCCTTCCTTCTCCCCTCTTCCCCCCTTCCCTACCCCCCACCGTCCCTCCTTCTTCCCTTTCTCCCTTGGTTTGGCTTTACAAATAAAATATAAATTTAGCTAAGAGCTCATACCACAAAAAGGAAGAAACAATAAGTATAAGCAGCAAACAGAGTTTGAAAGTAAACACCTTGCCATGCGTTCCAGGGGCTTTGTGGGGAGGATACTGAGGATCTTCTGGTCTCTGCTCTTGGGGCCTCCAGGCTGCTCTTCTTGACCACCGAGTGAGGCTGAGGCGAGACCTCCTGGGCTCTTCCCCCAAACTGCAGTGCCCTTTCCAATAAGCAGAAGGCCTGTGGCTTCAGGAGGCCCTCCCGTTTCCATACTATATCTGTGGTCAAGAACTGTTACTTTGGATAAACAAAACTGACTCTAAAAACTCGGGTATCAGACGCTGCTCTCTTAGTGTGACTTAGCTCCGCTAGCTAGCTCAGATCACGATTCCTAGGGGAGCCCTCATGTTGATGGCAGTGAGGAGGGAGGGGGGAGACTCGGAACAAGGTGGAGGGCTCTGAGAGGGCCACAGGCAGCCGACGGAGGGGGCCGTGTGTCTCTGCAGGTGACGACTCCATCCGCACCCTGGGCCTGATCCTCGGCGTGGGGCTCTCACTGCTGCTCGTGTCCGTCCTGGGCTACAGCCTGGCCAAGTGGTACCAGCGTGGGTACTGCTGGGAGGGTGAGTGAGCGCCGGAGCCCAGCAGCCCAGCGCTGGCCTGTCCCTCCTCTCCTGTAGCAGTCGGCAAGGCTGGGTGGGGCTGCACACTCTCCAGCATGGCATCATGCAGAAACACTTCCTGTGGCGGCTGCAGTGGTTGAAGACTTGAGTGGGGGTGGCAGAGCCCTCGAATGGGGGGGGGTGGGGTACTGGGCCTTCACTGAGGGAGTGAGGGCTCCTGCGACCCAGCCGGAGGCTGTCTGTCTCTTTCCTGAGAGCCCACCAGCGTCCATCCCCAAGACCTGTGTGGGCCTCGAGGCCAGGGGCGCCAGGCTAGACTGGGGTCCCCCACTCTGGCTCCTTGTGCATCTCTCCCCCTGCCTGTGGGTTCAGCTTCTGCTTCCCTGGGAGTCTCCCAGCTCCGAGCCATATCTGCACTTCCCACGGGACCCGGGGGGAGCTGGGCGGGCATGCTGGCATCCCTGGAGGCGGAGAGCATGTCTCAGACCTGCAGTTGGCTTCCACAGCTTCCACGAATGTTTGCTGAGCACCTACTCTGTGCCAGTGGACTTTTGCCTAATAGGATTTTCTTCAAAATTCCGTGTAAGGTTGGAATTCTTAGTTTCTGTTTTTTATAGATGAAACCGGAAGGCTGAAGTCACAGGGTTAGAGAGTGGTATAGTCTGGATTCAAGCCCAGGTCTGCTGCTTTTGGGCTCTAAGCTAGGACTGCCTCTTTCCCAGGGTAATCAGTACCCTTAAAGGGGGGATGCCTAGCTGCAGGAGTTGCCCCAAAAAGCTGGTGGTTCTATCTGGGAAGATGGGGTACACCCCTGGGCGTGGGGCAGATAGCAGACAGTGCAGGAACTTGGGGCCCTCCGACAGCATCCTGAGGTCCAGCGCAGCCACGCTGCTCCTCCCAGATGGGGTGAGGGAGCACCAGATGTTCCTAGAAGCGTGATGGGCAGGTCTTCCCTGGAGGTACTAATCCTCTCTTTTCTGATTGTCTTTTTAGGGCCTAATTTTGTCTTCAACTTGTACCAGATCCGGTGAGTAGATTCAGAGCAGATCTGGGTGTGGTTAGGTATGGAGCCCAAACACACTGTTCCTCTTCCTTGTCTCCTCTCCATGCCCCTAAGCAAACAAGAGAAAAGGAGGGAGCCGGGGTCTATTTAGAAATTACCATGAATAAAAACTCGAACACGGACAGGATTATGTGAGACTCTGCTGATGGCGATCCTCTTATCATTTGCCCCCAGGCAGGGACCAACCATTCATTCGTCATCTACTCATCATTTATTCAGGAAAGATCTATTGTTGCAGGTGTTGTGGTATTAAGTTTCTAGGAGGTACGATGAGCATAGTCTCTGTCTTTAAGCATTTCACTGTCTGTGGTGGACATGGGCCTGACTACAAATAACATAATCTCGGGCACAATGTGGTGTCAAAAGAGAGGAGCAAATGGAGACCACCAGGGATTTAGGGAGTGGGGGTCAGGAAGTGCTCCTGCGGTAAGCCGTCTTGTCCACTCGCTGCCCTAGGGCAGGTCCGCTCTTCGTCCGGCTCCGAGACATGGGCCAGCTCCTGTTCTGGAAGATGAGTCAGTTGAGGAGTCATGGCCAGAAGTTCTTCCCATGCTCTGGTCTAGGAAGTTGGGCTCCCAAGGAGAGGCCACGTTCTCAGCCACCCAGATGATTGGATCATCTTTCTCAGGAACCTGAAGGAGCTGGAGGTGGGTCCACCCTTCACCATCAGTGGCCATGTCAGCAGTTCCAATGGCGGCTACAGGAAGTTCTCCGACAAGCTAGTCTGATGGGGAAGTGTCAGGCTTTGGAGCCCCGGAGAGGTGAGTGGAATTGTGGTGAGCTCCTGAGTAAATCTGATGTCCTAGTAAGGTCCTCGGATGGCGCAGGCACCCAAGCCTAGCACCAAGGACTCTTCGGAACCCAAGAGATGATTCGGTTCAAACCCCCCTTCCTGCTGGGGGGTGGGTCCGTGGGAGATGATCTCAGGCGCCAAGGCCGAGGGTCATGCTGTCCTCACCACCTGCTGGCTGCTCCTTTCCACCTGGGCACCCAATCCACGTTCTGCCTTTCTTTCCTGGGGACGTTCTATTTCTAGTCAGGTAGCAGCTTCTAGAGTCGAGCTTTCTATCTCAACCCTTTGCTCTGAGTTGAAGGTTCTAGATGGCCAGTCTGTCCAAGAAGCATCACTCCAGAGTGTCACTTCTGCACTGAAGGCCCAGGAGCCATCCCTGCTTTGTGGCCGGCTGACCCTTGGGTCACACTTTCCTTCCCCCTGCCTTCAAGCCTCCCCGCCTCCCCATGGCAGTTGCTTTTCCCCATCCACTTTCTCCCTCCAGCAATCCCTCATGGACCCCCAGTTTCTCTCTGAGCTTCTCCTCTGGCCTGGGAGAAGCCTTGCCAGATGCAGTGGTTTAGAGGAATCCTTTTCAGGTCTCATCTCTTTGCTGTTCTCCTTTTGCTTTTTCTGCAGGAGGAGGCTCCTGGTGTAGCACCTGCCCCTCCTAGGCTCCCTGGGCTGCTTTCATCCTCCGGGGTCTTCAAGGCAAGGCCTGGTCCCTTGTTGTGGACGAGGAGAAATCACACTGGGTGCCCCACAGGCCTGCAGCGGGAGAACCCCCAGGAGGGGTCTGGGCTCTGGACAGAGTCTGGTAGAGTAGCAGTGGCTTATCTCCTCCAAACAAAAAGGCAGGCATTGCCCAGGAGTAGAGACCGGTTCCCAGGGGGCCCCTGAGCCTGTGGAGGGGTTCCGGGTGTCTTGGAGAGCAAAGGCCTCCCAGCTCAGCCCAGTGTGGGCAAGGCCTGCAGACCCACAGGGGAGCTCTCCATGGGGTGTCCCCAGACACTTCCCCTTGAAGGGTGGACTCCAGGAGCTGGAAAACCAGTCATATTTTCAATAGGCAAAGTCAGGTGGGAGTAGAGGTGATTCCAGATGCTGTTTTTTTTTTTTTTAAAGATTTTATTTATTTATTTATTTGAGAGAGAGAGAGAGAGAGAAACAGCATGGGAGGGGATAGGGTCAGAGGGAGAAGCAGGCTCCCCGCTGAGCCGGGAGCCCGATGTGGGACTCGATCCCAGGACTCCGGGATCATGACCTGAGCCGAAGGCAGTCGCTTAACCGACTGAGCCACCCAGGTGCCCCAGATTCTTTTTTCTAATTTATTTTTTTAAAAGATTTTATTTATTTATTTATTTGAGAGAGAGAAAGAGAAACAGCATGAGAGGGGATAGTCCAGATGCTGTTTTTAACCTTCCTACCAGAAGGCAACTTCCCCTAAGAGCTGAAGACTGAGCTTGACCTTTGCTCTGCCCTGCCCCACTCTGTGCTTCTTTCTGGTTCTTTCAACCTCCCCACACCCGTTTACCACCTGGCTCTGTTTTCCCTGCTGTAGATCAGCCTCCATGCCTCCCAGACCATGTGGAGGTCAGTGCTTAAAACAGTCTAGAAACACGGATCTTATTTTCTAGGCTTCTGTGATGGGTGGGTAGGGGCTGGGGGCAGAGAGCTCAGTCTCCCTGTGTTCTGCATTTCCTGTGCCAGGCTTGCCCTGTGGTGGGGAGGGCAGACCAGAAATGGTGGGAATCGGGGAGGGACCCAGGCGAGGCTAAAAAAAAAAACCAAACAACTAGCTAATAATGCACAAGGGAAATCATGAACCAAATGTAGGTTGGGGGACAGCAGGACTTTTTGCCTTGTGAGTGATCACTCTTTCCTCTGGTCTGCCCTGATGGCAGAGGTGGCGTCCACACCCAGATGTTGTCTTAGTAGGCCCTTAATGCAGAGTTGTGCCAGCCAGCGAGACTGTGTTCCCGGGCAGCTGTGGATGGAGGAGGGCCTGATGGGGGCCCAGCCACTGCTGAAAACCCGCAGTTAGAACTGCGTGTCCCAGCACCTAGGCCAATAAGACTCAGGAGCCCAGGACAGTGAGAGGCAAGGAGGAGGGAAATCATATTATTTGTCTTCCTATCCTTGCTTCCCTGGGGCCTAGTTTCTTTCTTGCTTTGGGTTCTAGCCAATTACAAAGGAAGGAAGGAAGGGAGAGGAGAGGAGAGGAGCTGAGCCTTACCAGCCTCTACCCCCTCACTTCCTGCCAGGAACTGGGGGGCCATTCTTCCAGCGGAGCCAAGCTCTGACTTAATAAACCAAATCTCTAAATTTGGAGGTCTTCATCTGGGCCCCAATGTTTCTATCCCTGAGTTGGTGAGGGTGGGGCAGAGCCCCCGGTAGCTTGGATCTCTCCCTTTATTGAAGGCTTTATTGGGAGAGCAGCGAGGAGGGGGGATGGGCTGACTTTGACATCCTTCTTTGGATTTCAGTGCTAAGGGTTGGGCCCCATTCCTTAACCCATGGGGTGTCTAGCTTCGTGAAACTCTGAACGATACCCCGCCCAGTGTGGATCCTGGGTCTGCAGTCCACAGGAGGCTGCCCCAGGTCCCTGAATCTGCTCAGGACTCCGAGACCTTGGGGAGACTTGAAAGGATGGGGCCCAGGGCCCAGGTGGTCCCTCCTCGGGTTTGGTGGCTTCAGGTAGGGACACAGGGACAGCTGCTGAGGGCTGGGAGAACGGAGGGTATTTCCCATCCTCGGGAGCGGAACCGAGACTGGGCTACTTCCTCTTTTAGGGTCCTCTGACGTGTTCCCTGTGCCTCCTTCTTGTTTTCCTGACTTCCGCACTCGGTCCTGCTGGCTAACGCAGCGTTGCCCTTCACCCCAGACCTCCCCTGAGGATGCAGCAGGTTTTCATTGAGAGCCCTAAAGTGGCAGCTTCCAGCTTGTTAGGAGATGATTAGGGAGCAGGTGCCTGGAGATCTGGCTGTGGGTCTGGTTGGGCTGGGCGCTGAGACCCACGGCCATGCCAGCGCCTCGCCTGGAACCTCCCTCTCCTCTTAGCTGTTCTTCTTTCCCCCTGGCTCTTGGGGAGGAAAGAGAGCCAGCACTTCTCTGGGCTGGCCACTCCCGGTCCCTCTGCCACCCTGTTCCTCTTTAGTGTCTTTGCCGGGGCTTCTCGGAATGCCTTTGCCCTCCCTGCTGACCCCTCCGAGCCACAGCTAGTCTCCGTGGTTGGCTCCAGTGTCCTCTTCCCTGTGCTTTCCTCAGGACTCCAGACCTGCTGCCACCCATTTGAGCCTGATGGCAAATGGCCATGATTCTCCCGTTTGTGCTGCACAGCGCCCCCCCACCCCCACCCCGTGAGCCCTTTGTGGTCAGGGTATGTCCCGTAGGTCCTCAGTAACCGCTAAACATAGAGCATGTAGGAGGTACTCAGTAGACGCCTGCTGAGTGCAGTAGAAACACCCACTGTGGCTCCGGAAGGCTGCCTTGTCCTGGAGGAAGACGCCCTGGTGACCTGAGACGGAGAGGCATGGCTTGCACAACACACAGTCTACAGAGAACACATTGTTTTCATGCACGTTACTGTGGCTTGAACCTTGGGGCAACCTTGTGACGTGGGGCGTCATTAACTGGCGAGAGGGAAGCTCAGAAAGATAGCATGCTTTGCCTAAGGCTGCACAGCCACTGACTCCCCTGGAGCCCGAGAGGGTGTGAGGCCTCACGGACGCAGCCTGACCGCAGGCTTAGTGGGATGAGGATGGAACACTGGAGAGTACGGTCTGGTCCTGCCCTGCCCTGCCGTGCTGTGTGGCCGTGGGCTAGTCATTCACCACCATGGGCATATATTGTAGCCCGAGGGATTGGACTACTTCTCCAAGGCTCCTCTCTTTTACCTGAAGGAGAAAAAGGATCTTCTCTGTTTGTATTTTTTTTTTTTTTAAGATTTTATTTATTTGAGAGAGAAAGAGAGAGAGAGAGAGAAACACAAGCAGGGTGAGGGGCAGAGGAAGAAGCAGACTCCCTGCTGAACGGGGAGCCCAACAAAGGGCTGGATTCCAGGACCCTGAGATCATGACCCGAGCTGAAGGCAGACGCTTAACCGACTGAGCCACCTAGGCGCCCCTGTACTTTTTTTTTTTAATCTCTGTATTCTCAGTGTCTAACAGAGGACCTGGAACATAGTAGGTGTTCACTAAACAAAAGATACAAGTACAAAGTATAGTGATAACTTTCTGACTGAGGAGGTGACAGGTGACTGCTGCAGTTCCTTTAGACTCTGATGGTCTAGGATCTGAAATATTCCTCAGCCTGTCTTTGACTTTAGATAAATCTAACCAGCATCTAAGACTGGACCATTCCCAACCAAACCCTTCTTTACCAGCAAACTAACGTTTGCTGAGCACATATGAGAGTGCAGGGCAAGGGCTCCGTATGCAGTCTCTCTTCATCCTCACAGTGAAGGTACGGAGGACCAGGGTCCAGTGAAATGATTTGCTGAAGGCCAGGCAAGAATGTATTTTCTTTGTAATGGTTTGTCAGCCACTTACAGCCTCTGTCCAAGTTCACAGCTTCCCTGAGCTCCCTGGCCCCCAAGGAAGCAGGCCCCTCCCGCTGGCCTCAAATCTCTCTTCCGGGTCCCCTGGTGTGGTGAGAACAGCCCTGTCCTCGGCTTTGAGCTTCTTGCTGGTCCATTTCCTATTCTTTTATTTTTTTTTATACCTCCCTTGGCCTCCAAATCGTCAAATTCTGCCCCTTCTTTATGCCAGCTCAATTTTTACTTCCCCAGGGAGACTTCCTTAAGACCGATGGATCTTGTCTTCTCACTTTTTTTTTTTTAAGATTTTATTGGTTTATTTGAGAGAGAGAGAGGGAGAGAGAGCACACAGGGGGAAGGGCAGGGCAGAGAGAGAGGGAGAAGCAGGGTTCCCACTGAGCAAGGACCCCCCAATGTGGGGCTCGATCCCAGGACTCTGGGATCATGACCCGAGC